GATAATTACATATTAAAAGCTACGAAACATTTATGTTTTCCAACAACACTCAACAAAATATTTATGTGACTTTTAATTTGAAGCATTCCCAGACATTTGAGCTAATTTATAGCATTTTCCTTCTCTTTAAGTATTTTTTCTAACAATTAGAAATTTAATTAAGACACAATAACACGCCAAACAAATACTAATTCAGAAGTCAAACAACTAAAATCCGTGTTGCGCTTTTGCAGCTGAGGATGGTGGTTCGGTAAAACCATCGAAACTAGTCCTGTGAAAATTTGAAAATATAATGCTGTTTTTTTGCTGTTTGACTTCTGAATTAGAATTAGAAATTTGTTTCAATATGCAAAGGAGTGTTCTCACTAGTTTCTGCATGCTTTATCTCCTAACTTGTCAACCTCTCCTCAATGTACCTATGAGGGTTTAATTGATCTGGTAAAAGTTAAATAGTCCAAAATCTCCTGAGAGACATGAAGCAAATTATGGCTATGTCTGAAAATAACTACAAAGTCAGACAAAGGTTTAAATAAGCCTCTTATTTAAAAAGAACATAATACATGTTCTTATGCTAACAAATTCAATAAAAGCTTGTGGTGATGTAATTAAACAAGAACAGTCAAATTCAAACTAAAAATGTGGACTAGTGATCAAAGACTAAACAATTTAATTTTAATTTAAGCTGGCTCAGTAACTCTATTGTCATAAAAAATTCAAATGTCGGCAGTGATAATGCAAAGATGAATAATTACAAATTATCAGAGCTGATAAGAACTAATGCAGCAAGCAAGCAGAGGTCAAAAACACACTCTGTCTCACACTCCAAAAACCTCAGTTTAAAAACTGTCTAAGTGATTTGCATTCTGATGAGAAAATAGAAATGGGAAATTATAGTAAAAGCTGAAATTATAAATCACTGGGTAATTTACATAATAATAACTGTACATATCTTTGAAGAATAATTTTCTTTTTCTTTATGTATTCAGTTACTTTCTTCAATACATTTCCTTTACGTTTTATAATTTTTCGATTTCATTAAATATTTCTGTTATTCTAAAAAACTAAATGCATTTAGAATGTATAAAACAGCTGTCAATTTTATTTCTTTAGTAATATGAACATTCAGAAAAAATATGAAACATATATGGCAAGGGACGGTTACAGGCTTTGTATGGCAGAAATTTTAGAATTTAGTGACATACTGAGCAACAAAATCTAGAAATGGCAAAACTTTTAGAATTTAGAGCAGGCACTGGAAGAAGAATTTAGAATCCACGGAGATTGCATCAGGTGATGCAATAATACCTAGTGCCAGTCCTGTGTAGGATACCTAGTGCCAGTCCTGTATATACCTAGTGCCAGTCCTAGTGAATACCCAGTGCCAGTCCTGTGTAGGATGCATTAAAACATATTAGATGAATCTTTTACATTGTTAGTTTTCAATTTCTTTGATAATAAAAAAATCCCTTTCTATAATGCCTCCCCATGCAATAAGATTAGAAGCGATTTTGATATTTTCCATGCTTGTGTCTAGTGAAAAGTACAGAAAATAAAGGGAAGATAAAAATATTAAGAAAATTATTCTAGCTTCAGAAGAAAAACATTCAAATATTATGTTTTCATTTTTCTTCCAGATGTTCTGCAAAAAAAGTAAGAAATTCACCACAAACTTTCTGTAAAATACACCCACTATGTGTTAATACCATGAAGACATTTTTCATTTTGTCACATTTTTCTAGAATCGCAGGTTTATAAATCTTGCCTTCAAATCCTTCTAAAATTTCCAAGCTGCAACATCTAAATTTCTACAGAAAAATTACTCCTACCAATTCTGTAATAGCAAAAAAAAAGAAATATTTTAGAAAAAAAAATAAATAAAATAAAATAAAGGGGGAAAGTGTAAAATTAAATTTATAGAGAAAATTGAAGCATATTCCAAGAATTTTGAATATTCTGAGAGAATTACATGAGAAAAACTCTTATCATTAAAAAATTAAAAGATATTTTTAATCAATTGCATGGCTATTTTGCTCTTGCTAAGAACTGATTTGTAAATTGTGCTTTATAGCTTTTAAAGATTGTTTATTTTTCAGATTTAAAATATTGTATAAGTGGTCATAATGGAACTTTATAATATGACAGCAAAAATTAGAAATGTTTTATTTTAATGCTATTTTATAAATATAATTTAAATATATTACCAATATTTTAATGAAATTTATCAATATAACAAACAATGTTTAAAAAATCATCAAAAAATACCCAAATCTTGGAATTAAAAATTTCCTATAGAAACTGATCTTAAAATTGCAAAATTTAGAACCGTTTAATAAAAGAATTCACATCCCAAAGAGCAAAAAGTTGTTTAACAGCTCTTCATTAGGAAAAATGAAATAATTTCAAAATGCTCATGTTTCCCTTCTTTCACTATAAAACTCGAGTATCCCATCATTTATATTAGAAATATTAATAAATAATAGAAATAAATTATAACCCATGAACCCATTTGAAAGATAAGCATATTTAACAATGAATTGCCAAAAATATTCCAAATGTTTGAATTTGTGTACATAATATCATTCTATATCTTTCAAGACCTAAAAAGAGACAGGAAGAATAAAAATTCTAGTATTGAGATAGAAAAGGTGGTGGATTTTTCAGGCAACAGTAATGCAATTATAATGCTGTTGTCAAAATCCATACACTTAAGCCTTTGTTGCATATAAATAATCTAGAGAAGTTAAACGAAAATGTTTGTATTTTTTCTACTTAAAATAACATTAGTAATAATAAAAAAATTAATTTTATTCAAATTTCGTTTTAAATAATTGCTACAGTTTGTTCACTACAGTGGACAGCATGCATATATGTACTTGCACACAAATCTCCTCCCAACGATTTATGGTCATTGCATTTGAAATCATTTCCTGCCTTGTTTGCAGTGATCATTACCATCTTCTAAATGGTAAATCTACAACTGACATGTACAAATAGATCCCCCAAAATACCTTCATTTCGTCGATTGTGATTGAATTCATTTTGCTACGATTTTATAACCTGTACCTATTGGATTCAAATGTCAAATGTTTTAGAAATTCCTTGCCAAACATAAACATTTCCAGTGGGTGTTTTGCTTGATAAGCACTACATTGGGTTTTAATTCACTCTTTTCGGTAGATCTTTACCTAACCCACTCCACAATTTTCTCAAACTGACGTTTAACAATTAAAATGTCTAAATTATGAATTATGAACTAAAATGGCTGATGTGTACACCACATGTAAGCAATTTTATATAATGTTTACTATGAGAAATTGTACTAACTTGGAAGTAGCAGCCATTTTCCAAATAGCAATCCTTTACTTAGTGATGCTATACAACCATCTATGATAGACAGTTGAAAGTTCTAATAATATAGAATGAATAAACACAGGAATGGAATCTGTTAAGGCATTTACAGAAGAATAAACAAATTTAAACTTTTGTCTACTAGAATGGACATGATGCAACAAAGGGTTAATATTTAATGGTTTGCACAAATCTTTTAACATAAAACTTACATTGACAAGTGATGAAAAAGTAGCATTTTTTTGCAGCATGATATTGAAGAAACATTTCTTTTTTCTTCCCCGTTTACATTTAACAAACATTACTTTGTCAAAGTATGATTACCGAGTAAATATAAAAGGCATCTGATATTAGGAACGGAGAATGTATGTGTCATAGATGCAATGATTCAACTTGAAAGTGTTTGATTAATTTCATGTGTATTCATTTGTTTTGTTAACTTCTCTGCTCACTGTTTAGCAAAATCTTTATTTAATACTATTTAACATTAATTTATTTACTATTATTTGTTGGTATGCAAATAGTGATGGCCTGTCGCCAATATAGCAAGAAACAGTGTGATATGAACACCCTGCAAAGGAGTTAATTGTGCAACTAGCTTTTACTTTTCTTACTCTTTCAGGAAAAAACAGTGATATGACACTCTTTATCATATAACTGTCTTTTGATATGTATTTGGAATACTAAAAAATCTCAATCTATTTTCATGTACTAATAAAATGTGTTTAGTGATCTTTCAATTTCCGTTTACAACTTTTCTTTTTTTTTTTTTTCTTTTAAAGTAAATTGGCTATGATCTTGCTGATGCTACGCTAGATACAAGGTAAGAGGAATTATTTTACTCTCTACATTTATTAATTTGTTGTGAAATAACAAGGCTGAAAAAATGTTTTACATTATTAATAATTCTGTTTAATGTTTGCTTAATCTTATCATTAAATTCTTAAAATGTATGTACAACTTTAAAGTTGGATTTATTCTCTACCTTTTAATTTTTTTATTATCACAGCATTCACTTAATTCTTTACAGAATCAGGGACTTACTAGTTCTTTATAAATATTCATAATATATATTTAGAGTCAATGGAAAGAATTAGCTCTGAAAATAACATTTATTGTAACTTAAATCTAGTTGGAGCTGGATCTAATTCTGAATCTCCAATAGTAATTCATGACTTTGAAGTTCTAAGTCAGGTAGGTTTTGAATAGGACTTCTCAGCAATATTTGTTTTTCATAAATTCCCATGAATGAAATATTAAAATTATTTAACTTATTGGCACAGAGTTTTGCTAAGAAAGCCCAAATTTCTCTTGAGAAAGATTTTTTTTATTATTTATTTAATCAAAAATGCCTCTGGTATTTTATACCAGGATAGATCATTTTTTAAAGAGGTCACAAATAACATTCTAGGCCATATACAACAGTGTTGATCAGAAGGTTAAATATAAAATTAACTCAAAATTAATAAGAAATTTTAAAAAATGAGAGGCCAAAGAATAAGAAATATAGTTCATGTGAATCACACATTATCCGTAAAAAAAAATCTGTAATAGTACTATATTTACAGCAAAGCATCTGACAACTATCAGCCTGCCTAAAAAGCAAAATTGAAATGATCGTGTGAAAAATTTTCTAAAAAAAAAAAACAGCATAAAATATTTAAAATTTTTATTTTCTTAACAATCAGAAATTAAACATTAATGCTACTGAATACATGAAAAAAGAAAAAAGTTAGCCAATCACACAAAAAAAGGCAGCTTTCAGAACATTAGAATTACGAACATCAGAATTAAGTTTTAGTAATATGCAAAAAACAATTAAACATTTTTAAGTAGTTTTATTTTAAGGTATTTATTAAGTAAGTCCCCTCCCCTGAGGAAAAAAAAAAGTAGTATGGCAAAAATACATCCAATCAATTTAAAGTCTACATATATGTTTTTAAAATTAGCATAATTTAGTAATTGTTGGGAAAAAGAATAATATTTTACATGATTTTAAATAAATAAATATTTTTAAACACCTCCAGTAGGCAGCCAAGAGAATTTGCAGTATATTTTAAAACAGCAATAAAGTTATAGTTTTTAGTATATATCTTACTATGGCATATATACAAAATATACAACTATCAAAATATTTACAAAAAGTTGGAATGTAAATTGAAATACAGGAAACTCTTACAACAAAAGCATTTGGTGACCATAAATTTTTAGAATTTTCTGGATATCAATACAAGCAGAAGCTTCAAAAACAAATGAAACAAAACATTATTCTTATTGCACTATATAAACCACTCTTTTTGCATACAATTTAATGAAACAAGAATTTATTGTTATATATGAATATTAATACTCAGAACAGGGATGTACAAGCTTTTCAAAAACTGATCAAATACAATACTGCATTCTGAAATATAATACAAGTGATAAGAAATAATATTAACTTTATTTTATGATAAAACAAATTTCAACCCCTACTTAAATTACTGAATTAATATATGAAGATGGTACTGGATCCTAAAAATAAAATAATGGGTAATTTAACTTTTTGTTTAAGGAAGTATTAAATGAATCCTTTCTTAAACAAATTCCAAAAATAAAAAAACTTGCCAAAACATAATTTTTTTTGGGGGGGGGAAGGAAAGACGAGGGTGGGGAATTTTTATTTTTCTTTTAATTTTAAATGATTCCTAAAAGATACCTTTAAAAATATATGCATTTTAAAAACCAATAAACTGTCATTCAACTTGCCCTTTTATGAAAATTCTGAAACTGAATTCATTCATTTAGTACAAAGAATCAAATGACTTCCTACACCTTCAGTTTATACTAAGATTGGATTAGCAAGATGAAAAATGTTTGTCCATCCCTGCCTAGTCGTTAATTAATAACTTAATGAATTCCTTGCCTACAGGTAAGACAGAGAAATTTTAAAACATATACTATAAAAATTACTCTCAATGCTTTGACATTAGAAAAATATTCGATTGGAAAATTTTATAAATATAGGAAAATTTCCTATACTTTTCTCTGAATAAAAAATCTTACATAATAAATTTTAGTAAATTTTGTTCGCAACTTTTTTTCCCTTAGTCTAACCTTTCTAAGTAGAGCTCCATTCAGGATTAATTTTTTGGTGGCACTTGCTGGGCAGCAGCTTGAGCAGCACCATCTTGAGGCACAACAGGTTTAGCATCACTATTAGGAATCTGTATATTAATATGAATATAAAATTAGGATTATAAAACATAAATATTTTTAATACGAAAATGCACTTAACATTTCATAAAAGTAACACCAGCATAACATAAACATGTTACTATTATTTTACAATATTTCAAAACAATTCCTTATGATATGCTATTCCCTCCAAAGAAATGTTCAAACTGAATTTGAAGTTCTTTACATATTGGATATTAAATTCATATATTTATCTGATGTTCAAAGTCATTTTTATGTCCAAATCAGCCAGATAAAAAGCAAAATGAATGCTCTGACAATTATTTCAGCATACTGCACATAAAAGATACAAATGTAATTTACTGGAACACCTGCAAAAGTATCTTGTTAAACATGAGCTGTTACATTAAACAACTCTTCTGCATATTATTATACACCAGAGGATTAAAAGCATATATAAGACTGACTTCTATAAACATAATATTTGTCTACAGAAGGGTTCTGAAAATGTCTTTTTCTTTTCCTGTTTCCAGTCATAATTATGTATTTATGAAGACTAAACATTGACCATCTATTAATTTTTTGGGGGGGGGATCATGAATTTTATAAGGTAATAATAATGTAGTCTTAACCAAATTTGGTTTTGTAATTCATAAAATAACACTGAGCCTGCATGACCAATCTTGTAGCACAATAATGATGTGCTCTAAATTTGTATAATTTAATAGGCCGTACAATAAAGTCATGTGGTGTCCGTATAATACTTTTTTGGAGGGGGCATAGAAATGAGGAAGGAAAACTTTGCCATTGAAAGAGAAAAATTACTCCCACTACTCAACATGGCCACCCATGTGGTGACCAGTGTGAAAGAACAGTCCCAACATAGTCCAAGCGTGTCATAAGAGGCGACTAAAATGAATACTCAGTGTACCTGCGGGTATAGCCAGATACTCCTGTCTAGAGAAGATTTATAAATATGGAGGCTTGGTCCTCCATAATGGGGGTTGGGTTGAGGGCTAACAATCCTACACTGTACAAATTCTGTTGTTATGAAATCTCAAGAAGAAAATTTCCCAGAGCTAACTTCAAGAAGGCAAACTGGAAAGGGCTCAAAGGATTTTAGAATTGGATCATGGAACATTCATTTTTTATACAGAAATAAACGATTGCAAATGCTTAGTGAGCAGTTTGATGATTATAGAATTGGTATTTTAGCTATACAAGAAGTGAGATGGATAGGAGAGGAAATAATTGGGGGGGGGACATACAATGACTTATAGCTGTGATAAAAGCTCTCGTCACAGCCTTAAGGGAGTTTAAAATATCCAAAAAATTATTAAAGTTTATCACCCTGACACTAGATGAAACTAAAATCATGGTAAAAATACAGAATGAACTATCAAAAGACAAGCCAAATGAAATTAAAAATGGCATTCGACAGGGTGATGCACTGGCATGCCTTCTCTTCAACCTGGCACTGGAAAAGGTAATAAGTGATTCAAACATCAAAACCAGAGGAAACACAATAAACTGGAACAATTAATGGCTTTTGCTGATAACAATGACATCACTTGTAAAAGACCAGCAGCACTAAAATGGGCTTTTATATCTCTAGGAAAAGAGACTCTCAGGATGGGCCTGAGAATTAATGAAAATAAAATATATGCCATGCACAAAACTGACTTCAAGGACACTCACTGAGAAACTGGAGAATATAAATTTAAAACTGTTGACAGTTTCACATACTTAGGCTCTGAAATTAACAACAGGAACACTATTACTACAGATATATAAAAGATAATAACTGCAGCCAATAGATGCTTCATTGGAATATGAAAAGATATGAAATTAAGTGTAATTCAAAGAAAAACAAAGGTTTTAATGTATATGAATCCTATAAGACCAAATTTAGCATATGCATGTGAAACTTAGACCATGACATGCATGAATGAGGACATGTTGGGCATTTTTGAAAGAAAGATTTTAAGACGTATTTTTGGGAGAATGCAAAAAGATGATGCGTGGCTTAGAAGATCAAATTTGGAGCTATACTGCTCATATAATGAATCTGACATCATTAATTTCATTAAATGCCAGAGAATAAAATAGGCAGACCCCATTGTCAGAATAGATGAAGAACATGCAACAAAAAAAGTCTTCAATGTCAGACCAACAGGCACACATAAAAAAGGCAGACCAAACGTAAGATGGTTAAACTGCCTAAAAAATGACCCACTGGTCTTAAAAACCAAAAACTAGAAAACACTATAAGGGAGAAGACATGTCCGGGCAAAAGCTTCTTGAGAAGGCTAGGGCCCACCTTAGACTGTCGAGCCATTGAGGAAGGAAGGAATCAACATGGCAATGAAGCATGACACTTTTCGTCATCTAATCTATATGATTGGCATTAGCAGCAATCAACAGTCACCATTAGCAACTGACAGCTAAAAAAGAATTCCCGAAACCGAAAAACAGGGTTAAAGAATTAGAAGAAATTCTACTTGGAAGAAAATTTTCCATTCTGTAAAGATGAAGAGATTTAAATCCCGTGTAGATTAGTTTTGTTAAGTAAGGATACACATGAAAACTCTATTAAAAGCACTTCAACATTATGTAAAAAAAATCAGTTTCAAATTTTTTGAAGGGAAAACATCAGTTAAATATACTCTGAATACAAATATGTCTATATGCAAAATTTGAAGAAAATAGTTTTTCAGAAGTTGGTCAGAAAGTGATTTCAAAGTATGACCCAACTGAATAGAAAAACAAATCTAAGAATACAAAATGAATAAAAAAATTATATGAAAAGAATATGAAAGTTATGCTTTTTACTAGCATTATTTATTGAAGAAATTTTTTCACAGCATGTAGCTCTTCTTCCACACTACTTAAACCAGATATTTAAAAAGCAAAATTTGCTTTGATTTCTAATAAAATTTCAGTACAGTCAAAAGTCGTTAATCCGGACTCGTCGGGACTTCGGCGATTCCGGATTATAGATCATCAGTTTAAATCTGGTAAAATGGCATGCAGAAATTATAAAATTAAAAATATGAAACCGTAATTTACGAAATAAAAAACAATTATGATCTAAAGGGTATCAAAATTTACAAAAAAAAAAAAAAAAAAAGCTTAACATTTCTTTCAATGTAAGTTTGTTTAAGTTGCTTCATTTTTTATGTGATAATACATTCTCTTTAATTCTATAAACACACATAATTTCTTGTTCAGTTACAAAGTTCCGCTGTTCAAGACCTATAATTGCTGTGTCGAGAATACCGACTAATTTGTCAATCAAAATTTTTTCGTTTTCAATAACCTTTGTTACTTTCTTCATTATCGGAAGCGAATTATAATGACGAGGCATTTGATTTAAATCATATCAAAGACGGAGTACATCGAGATGAAATACTACATTTAGTAAGCAATTATAAGTCAAATAAAATAAAAACATCTGCCCGGAAGATAAGGATAGTGCTGACAGATCAACTTCCAATTCATTGGTGCCCCAGCGTTAATATAAACAAAGTTTAGATAAACAAAGGATATGCCTTTATCCCTTTTTTGCAGCAATTCCACTTTTTGTTTAATGGACTCCAAAACATACTTTCGCTTTGTAGATCCTTTACATATTAGTAAATATATATCGGAAATTCTGTTTGACATAATTGAAAGTTCAAGCATACTTTTATAAAATTGCTCTAACAGTCTGCAAAAAATAATAAGCCGGAAAATTAAGGAACAACGCAATCTGCAACATTAACTGAAATAGGTAATTAGATAATTTTAGCTTAGCTTATACCGTCCGTTATACATTAAACGCGCATTCGTAAACGTATTTTGTGCATGCGCACACGCAAATTCGCAGCCGTAAAGGTCTTACGCGCATGCGCAGAAAGTTTGTAGCTTTGAGGTCCGGATTATGGGTGTCCGAATTAACGACTTTTGACTGTACATAATAAATTCTACATCAAATAAAAATTACAACAAATTAATAAAAATCATACAGGATCATTACTTTTTCTTGTTTTGGTGAGAATTACGTATCCTGCTGCATGTCTTTTGGTACTGAGTATAAGGAATAAGAAAAATGTACATACAGAACATACTAATTGGGGCTATCCTGTTCTATTTAATACATATTAAATATGATGATAACAAATTAAGGAGTCTATTGATATGAATATCTGCTTGGTGGATAAATTTGATAAAGTAACTAATAAACACAACTGAGGTGTTTAAAATTATATATATATATACACACACACATATACAGGGTTCATAGCCATATTTTAGTTTAAAAAATAAGCACCTATACGCACTTTTCAAGCACATTTTAAGGAAAAAATAAGCACCTGTCTAATTACATTATACACAACTGCATAACCTTAAAAGAAAAATTAGACTTGCAATTTAAAATATGAGCTATGCAATATTTATTAAGAGAATGAGCATTACCTCAAGAATGGAAAACAATTAACTTTTTTTTTTTTTTAAATTTTAAATGACAGTTCAATTTACAGAATTAGTTTACGAGAGAAAAAAAACTATGCAGAACTAAAACTATATTACAAAATTTAATGATGATTTTCAGTTGAAAATATAGAAAAAATAATAATAATAAGCCATTTTAATTGTATTCATTTGGCACCTAATATAAATACAATTTATTTTTTCCACTCATATTAATATTTAAATAATTAACTTAATCGAAATTCAGAACATTTTCTAAATTTTCATTGCATAACAGTTTTTCCCTTAACATATATCCCAAGCAAAGTAATTTAAGTATAAAGAGGCACTTTCTGAAATCAGAAGACAGGAAATTGCTTCATTCAGTCATCCTTTAACAGTAAAAGCTTAACTAACCCCCATACTCGAAATTCCCGAATATCCGGATAGTAACTGGAAAAAGAGGAGTGGGGGAGATTGTGTAGCTGTTCTTTAGATTTAAATTTAAGCTAAATAAATTATTTTGACATTTCGATATGTGCATCATATAAAAACCAACGGAACTGAGAAATATTCTGCTTAGAAAGCACAGTAAAACTCTTTTCAGTGTGCATAAACAAATCTCAGACTAAACATCAAAATTAATTATCAATGCAAAATACCGCAAACGTTATTGCACAATACGTGCGGCGTAATTCTTCCATATGGGATATTACGCAATCGGAATCAACACCTGCCGGGTATTCAGAGAAAAAAAAACTAAATAAAGGAAAAGAAAGAAACTTACTAATCTGGGGTGTTTCTGATTCTAATTTTCAACAGACTGTATTAAATTTCCGGAATAGAATCAATCTTCGCTTGGGTTGGGTAGACCGCAAAAACTTTTAATCCTATTCAATCCAGATTGGACAGTGACCAAAAAAAGTCCGCTGCTTCAATATTAGAGATTTTGCGGAGAAACTCCCAACCTCCGCACTGTATAATGTATTGGCAAAGAAAATGAAATTATTTTGACTATTCGATTACTTTCCTTTTATTTAAGTCATTCCGAATATTATTCCTTAGAAAGCTAATCTGTGTAAAAACACACCCATTTTTGGAAGTTTATCTATACTTCAGCAGTTACTGCAACTATACTATTATAAATATTCATACATATGCTGATAATATAAGCATAACGATCATAATAAACACGAATATGAACTTACCACGCGGAATGAGAATGCAAATTATTAAAATCTTGATAGAAATTCAAACGTGTGTAGTATTTGGGTGAGAGGAAAAGAATACCGAATGTACCGGAATTTTCTATGTTTTCGCAATTCTTTGGCCAATAGAACGACGTGCACCCGTCTGTACTCTCTCGCGCACCATAGGTTACGTTAATGCAGAGGAAGGGGGGGAAAGCAATTTTCGGGAGTATGATTCACCATCTGACGTTGCATATAAGAAAGAAATGTTATAGTTTCGGCTTTGGTACGGGGAAAAAATGCGCTTTCATTAAAAACAAAGGATTAAAAAAAAAGCACTAAAATCAAAAAATAAGCACTAAAAACAAAAAAATAAGGGCTTTAAAGAAAAAGTAAGCACCTATAAGGGCTTTTATATTTTATTTTCAAATATAAGGACTTATAAGCACTTGCAAGGACCACTACGAACCCTGCATATATATATATACACGTATTTCTAAAACAAAACTTTTCACATATACAATCATTATTAATTATCAAAGGGACTCTAATACCTGGTTAGGGTTCAGATTAGATTTTTCAGATGGTTTTTTATTAACCGAAGCTGCTTGTTGTGGCAGAACACCAGCAGCCTGCTTAACCTTTTGCTCCTGTGGTGCATCTTGCTGTACTTGAGCTTGCTGCAAAGGTTGTTGAGGGTTTTCTTGTTGAGGTGGCAAACGCTGTTGCTGCTGAGGGTAACCCTGCTGAAATTGCTGAAGTTGAGGTGGACTCTGGTACTGAATATTTGGAGGATGTCCTTGCTGAAACTGTGGCTCAGGGTGTCCTTGTTGAAATTGCTGTTGAGGATGCCCTTGTTGAAACTGTTGTTGGGAATGGCCTTGTTGAAACTGTTGTTGGGGATGACCTTGTTGAAACTGTTGTTGGGGATGACCTTGTTGAAATTGCTGCTGAGGATGTCCTTGCTGAAACTGCTGCTGAGGATGTCCTTGCTGAAACTGCTGTTGTGGATGTCCTTGCTGGAAGTGCAGTTGAGGATGTCCTTGTTGGAATTGCTGTTGAGGATGTTCCTGTTGGAATTTTTGAGATGGATAACCAGGATGAGGAGGTACTCCACCAGGAGGAACCTGGTAATTAATTTGAGGAGGTAAACCTTGCTGGGCATTTCCCACATCATAATACATTCTTTGATCTCCATAATACTGAGGATACTGCTGTTGATGAAGCTATAAACACACATTGAACACTTTTTATTATCTCTAAAAAATGAGAAATTAACAGCAGTTAAAAATTATCAAAAATGAATAAATAGGCCACTTACCATTTGCATTTGCCTTTGACGCATATATTCTTCGAGTTCAGCTTCCGAATAGACAGCCTGTTCACCTAAATCCTAAATGGATGAATTAAATTGAATAATGATTTTAAAGAAGCAACTTTAAATCATTAAATTCATCAGATGGAAAAGAGTTAAGGGCAGGGGAAAAAAAAAAAAAAAAAAAAAAAAAAAAAAAAAACTTACTCTCCAACCTTCATCATTTGGGAAATCTGGCTGTTCAGTCATTTTTAAGAATTCTTCTAAGCTGATAAGACCATCTTTATTCTTATCTGTCTATTGTAGGGAAAACAGAATAAATAAATATTGACATATTAGAAACTTTTCGTGTGTACAGATTATTACATACACTAGAAATCAAAATTGTGGAAACTTTTTGGAAAAGTATATCTTTGACATTTGATACCTCATAACACCATTCTATTTTTGAGAAGTATCATGATATCAATTAATCAAGAAAACAATGCATCAAAGTGTATTCCATAATCTACATTTATCAAAATTTATATCCAAATAATCAGGGGAAAGAGAAAGACAACTTGCTTAGGTTTATGGGAAACATATTTCCATCATTTCAGGTTAGGCTAGGCGATCTGAATATGGCAAAACACATGAGGGCTATCAGCCTAAGGAAAAGGAAGCCTTTGCAAAGGATTTACTGAGGGTAGTTTCAGGCAAATAAAAGTAGAAAAAAATGCACAACAGTAGGAAATGAAAGAATTTACAGACTGTGCTCAAGTGATATAAGAAAATCAACTGGGTATGTAGAAGAAGAAATGGCACAATTCAATGCTACTTCAATGTCAAAAAAAAAAAAAAAAAAAAAAAAAAAAAAAAAAAAAAGAGCAAAAGCAAAGTTGAGCAAAAGGATTATTCAATGCAGACTGCCCAAACTTGGTTTAAATGCTAGAATTCCACAAAAAAAAAAAAAAAAAAAAAAAACTTTTTATCATCACATAATATGATATGAGCAGAGTTTGTATGATTAATGGGAATATAAATACCAAAAATATGTAAAAAAAATTCTTCAGCTCAAATTGAAGTCGTCTGCTCGTGAATGTTTCTAAGAAAATGAAGTATTTACACTTTAATTCACACTGCTGTTGTGTGCAAAAAACTTATTTTGAGAAAATAATATTCTACTGATAGAATGGTTTGGGGATAATCCAAACCTTAATCAATATTGCCGAATAAAGAAACTTTTTAAACAAAAATAAGTCATCAACAACACCCAATTAATAGAAGCAGTAATTCAGTCTTGGTTTTATAGTAACAGGTGTGGAATTAAAACAGTTGGTTTGCTCCATAGAAAGGTGTATTAATACCATGCCTAACTTAAAAGGTAACCAAATTAAGCATTAACTGGCATAATGAGAATTTTTATACATTTCATTTTCTCTATGAGTTTCACTTCATCTTTACAACTGCTGCACTCATAAATAATCTACTATAAATGTTACTACATTACATTCTTGATTTATTTATCTTTCAAATGATATATAATTTTACAGTATTACTCCAAAAAAGAGTGGTAATGTGGACTATGAAAACACAAAAATACACTTTTCTAAAAGGTTACCAATATTTTGGCCCCTACTATATGTAATCAAATACAGCAAATATTATTTTTTTATTTAAAAATTAATTTGGATTTCATTTGCATTACCTTCTGAAACTAGCATAAATTTAATAGCACACCATCATAATGTTTCTCATCAAATATCAAGCAGAGAATATTTATATCAAAGCAAATTAATAGCAAACATTTCATTTCTAGAAATAATTACCTAATAACTACATTACATAATTTTTTTTTAAGAAAAGGATGCCCCTTTTTAAGCACTGAAGATTTTATTTATTTTATAGGTCATAAAATAGCAATAGTTTCAAGATATTAAATATACACAATTTATTTTTTAACTTAATATATTTTAACATTTATATTGCCCTAATTTTGCAAAATTAATGTAGAGTGCCCATAAATTTAGCAAAACATCTTCCCAAAGTTACAGTTATAGACAATAACATTTATATGTGTGTGTGTGTGTGTCTGTATATACAATCACAATTAAAAATTCATAAAAAACTCAACATTTTATACATACATATAATATACATTACAGTTTGAGACCAAAAAAGTCAAGCAGGGTTAATAGCCACACTTTATTAATTTAGAAGTCGAACAACAAAAATCAGCGTTATATTTTCAAATTTTCACAGGACTAGTTTCGATGGTAAAACCATAACCATGTGAAAATTGGAAAACATAATGCTGATTTTTGTTGCTTGAATTCTAAATTAATATTTGTTCGGCATGTTATTGTATCTTAATTAGCCACACTTTAGTTAAAAAAAATAAACACCTATAAGAACTTTTCAAAGAAAACAAAAATTTACATGATTTAATTAATTTTAACTTATTTTACATTACTTTTTAATTTATTTTCTTTTAAGAAAAAAAAAAAAAAAATAAAAGAAGCACCTGTTTAATTACTCATATACAACTGCATAATCTTAAAAAGAAAATAAGACTTGTAATTTAAAATAAGAGAAAATCAGTATTTATTAAGAGAGAAAATAAGCATTACTCAAGCTTGGAAAATAGTTATAATTATTTTTTAAATTTTAAATAACAATTATTTTAGTAACAATTTAAATAACAATTATTATAGTTCTAGTTAAATTTACAGAATTAGTTTAAAATGATGGAAAAGAGGGAAAAAAACATATACAAAACTAAACTATATTACAAGATATAATGATGAAATTTCAGTTAAAACGCATAAAATAAATAATAATAAACTATATTTATTATATTTATACAAAGTACTTTACAGTGTAAAAAGAAGAAAAAAGATTAATGCTTATTAATGAAGAATAAAATGTCTTATGTTTCATTTTTCTTTTGTCTCTTTTCATTAATGTTTTGAATCCAGTTCTCTTAACTGAGTTTATTTTTCACAAACAGTTTTTAACATTTCATTAGATTTATTTAAAAGATAAAGTCTTTTATAACTTTGCCTTTTCAGCAACTTCATTTGCTTTATTTTCAAACACTTTAATTTCTCTTTCTAAGAGTTTTATTTTCTTTAAGAGAAAACAATTCATCAGTTGATTATGCTTTTCTTTTCTTTTTTTTATCTTGAACAACAACTGTTTTCTTCTGCTCTTCTAAATATAACCGATACTATGAATGAGCTGATAAAACTGCCACTTTCATCTCTTTTGCAACTGATATATTGTGGATCCCACCAGCATGCTTCATATAACCAACAAACTATGCACTCAGCAATGTACGAATTTTCCTCCAGATTTTCTGTTTCTACATTTTTATTGATACTATATCCTCATTCAATAGGAAACTGCCCTTGGGAAAGAATAAAAATCAGTGTGTTTCCCATAACTTATTTTCCATTAATGAATCTGCACAAAAAAGTATCTAATATTTTTTTCACATCATAGGTTTTAAATTTTGTAAAGTATGGCTGGACAACATTTTCAATGAAATCAGAATATTCCTAAAGAATACTATCACATTCTTCTTCTGCAGTGTGGCCTTTCTGGGAAAAATGCATCAATATACTTTTCATTTTTCCATACGCTTTTGCGCTGTTTTGCACCATACACTTTGGATTCAAAGAAACAACATTTCGAATTAGTGATTAATTAACTGGATATTTTTTGCAGCAATTCCACTTTTTGTTTAATAGACATCGAAACATGCTTTCGCTTTTTGAATGCTTCAGCAGCTCCAGAATCGGAAACTCTTTTTGACATAATTGAAAGTTCAAGCTTAATTTTTATAAAATTGTTCTAACAGTCTGCAAAAAATAATAAGCCGGATCCAATTAGAAGATTAAGGAGCAGCGCAATCTACAACATTAACTGAAATGCCTCAGATAATTTTAGCCTAGCTTATACCGTCCGTTATACATTAAATGCGCATGCGTAAACGCATTATGCGCATAAAGTTTGTAGCTTTGAGGTCCGGATGACAGATCATTCCGGATTATTGACGTCCGGATTACAGACTTTGTATGCAATTTTCTTGAATTTCATATTTAAACTTATTGGATTGAATTAAATCTACTTCATCGATAGTGCATAAACCACAATAGAATAAATGCACTCTTTAAAATTCACTATATTTGTTTACCATAGCGACAACCTGGCGCTAGATTCACTAAACAGCATTATATTTCGTTCAAATTAACTCAGAATGCACAAAATTTATATCATTTGAAGAATTATCTGATCGTTGCCACATGTTCTATTCAAATACTATAATAAATATAGAATGTATTAAAGAAATTAAGCAATCAACACAAAATAGAAACAGTTTTTCATAGGCGATTTAGTATTTCATTCAATTAATTCAGTTCTCACTTCGTGACAAGGGGAAAATACATAAAAACTCAAAATATCTATATTAAAAATTACGAAGTAAATCTTAAACACTTATTTCCTTTAAAAAATTCCAGAAAGGATTAAGCATGATTTAATTCACAATAATAAATGAAGCCATTATCTTTGTTGTTGCGAAGCTTAGTCTCTGTAGATTGGCAACAAATCTACTATTCTGCTATTTCAAATGTAAACAAATATGTCCGCCATGTTATTTAAACATTAGGCTTAACCACATTTAAACAACTTTTAAATTGTTGATAATTCTAAAAATATTGCATACAGATTTACTAAAGGCATAAAAACCTTAACCAGAAGATAAGAACAACATAATTCAATCATTTTTAAAGCAAAAGATGCGCAATTTACTAACTTATAAGAATAAAGAAACTGAGATCACTGAGCTGAGTAACAGAGTGGATATACATATATACATATATTTATGTACTTTTGGTGTGACCAATTGCAACCAAAATACGAGGTGCACATCTACATGTTACAGCAGTTCTATATACAAAATTTAAACGTTCTAAGGCTATTCGTTTTTGAGTTATACGATATATATATATACGTACGCACAGACGCCACGAAAAATTCTCTTCGAAATTCATTTTAAATTAGTTTTACAATTTTTTGGGGGGAAAAGAGTCCTTTACTCTGTTTTTACATAGAGATGTCACCAAAAACATCATTAAACTTCATTCGATAGCAGTGAGAATGGATATTTCCGTTGAAATACGATGCCTGAAACTTTTCGTGATTACAATACTTCCTTTTTACTTTGTACAAGGAAGTAAAAAATAAAGGAACAAGTGATTCATCACTTTGGTACAATTCCAAAAAAAGTTTGACCAATTTAGCCACACCAATGA